GGATCATTTATTTAAAGCCTGATGATCAGGGACAGCTGGGTCCAGTTTCGAACCATCAAAAAGCTACTAAATTTTCTCAGGATCAAACCGGCGACCATTTGATTAACAACCACTTTAACCACTCAGCTACCCAGACCTATAAGTGTAATCAAAATTATAAATTTATCAAAATGTTTTTATTTTTCAATTTTAAAAAATTTAAGGAAGATTCTCTGTTAGACAAATTAACAGCAAAGTCTCAGATTCACAACCCTCTGGAAATTAAATGAACAGATGTAGACAGAAGGCCCCGCATCTGTCACAATCTGATTATACGACACCCTCGCACAGTGGTCGAGTGCAACAGCCATGAAATTAGCTGTTTATCCTTCAACACCTCATCAGGGGGTGGCTCCTATAAACCCATGAGCTCAAAACCTTTAGGAAAAATGTCTGAGAGAAATAATATTTTACAATTAATTTTCTACAATAATAGTATTGCAGGTAAAATATGAAAAGGCTACTTTGTGATATTTACGAGTAATGTGTAGACAAGGGTGTACCTATCTAATTAAATGTGACTGATTCTGACTCTCTAGAACAGCATTGAAATGATGTAGAAAACATAAAAGTATAACTATAAATGTTGCTGTATGAAAATGGATGAAACAACTATATAGGAAACACCCACTAGTCCATCCCCTTTTGTTCCTTTCCGTATAGATTTATCAAAATGTTTTTATTTTTCAATTTTAAAAAAATTAAGAAAGATTTTCTGTTAGACAAATTAACAGCAAAATCTCAGATTCACATCCCTCTGGGAATTAAATGAACAGATGTAGACAGAAGGCCCCGCATCCGTCACAATCTGATTATACGACACCCTCGCACAGTGGTCGAGTGCAACAGCCATGAAATTAGCTGTTTATCCTTCAACACCTCATCAGGGGGAGGCTCCTATAAACCCATGAGCTCAAAACCTTTAGAAAAAATGTCTGAGGGAAATAATATTTTACAATTAATTTTCTACAATAATAGTAGGCTATTGCAGGTAAAATATGAAAAGGCTACTTTGTGATATTTATGAATAATACGCAGACAAGGGTGTATCTAATTATGTGACTGATTCTGACTCTCTAGAACAGCATTGAAATTATGTAGAGAACATAAAATGGATGAAACAACTATTAGGGAACACCCACTAGTCCATCCCCTATTCTTCCGTTTTGTTCCTTTCCGTATCCGTCTGGCTCCAACAACTTCCGCCCTTTTTAAGGCAAGAACCCATTGGTACACCTGACTCTGCCGGAATGAAGAGTTCTTCGGACAAGGAGTTGTTTGTGGCAGCTGTGTCATGTGATGAAGAGGAGGAACGAAGACTCAGACTAAGGACTATACCTATTCAAAAGAAGAAAAAGTAGGCTACGACGAATTTCATAATTTGTTTGAAGATTTATAAAAATACCATATAAGGTTTTAACTTATTTTTACTTTTCGCATACGTCTCAAGTTAAGTTTCTAGAGTTGGTTGATTTAATGAAATTTCCAGTGAGATAGGGCCTACAGCAACTTTCATGAAGTTATTAATCTCGAGTAGCGTTTTGCCCAGATTCAGAAGAAAGTAAATGAACAACTCTAAAATCATAAATAGGTATAATGTAGGCCTAACTATTTTGATTATTTTTGGATGATATGTAGTATTAAAATACTGGTTAATGTGCTTCCTCAAACACATCACAGTGACTAATCCAGTCAGGTGAACGCAGAATGGAGAAATAACAGATCCGACGTCCATTGTTTAAATCCAGAAAGCATTGCCCGACAATGCATCAGAATAATGTTGACATAGAGAAGGAATGGAACAAAACGAAAAGGATCTGTGCAGACAAATGGGTTACGGTCCATTCAAAGCCTAGCAAAGCAATTTTGACAGAAGGCAGCGGAGACTGAATGGGATGGAACGGAAGGATATGGACTAGTGGGTTTCCCCTGCTTAAAACTGGCAGGCGATAAGTTTTCTACGCTTATACACAATTTAGCTTTGCTGCTGTTTTGATTTTTTTGCTATTTAATTACTTTAACTGGGGAGTGTTCTCCAATGCAGAGAGAGTTATGTTTACTTGAAACCTAATAGTTTAGGCCTACTGACTACCTACCCTCCCAATTCTACTTGAGAATTTTGCTATAGAGAAGTGATGTAATGAAAATTATATGGTCCTACAACAAATAATAGTTCTTGGGCCAAAAGCATTTAGAAAAAAAGAAGAAACATTAAATTTGTTTAACCCTCTACCAGACAAACAACAAGTGGCTCATCCACTGGAAAAGAGTCACTAGTCGTTAGAGCATTGATCAATCTTTTATATTGATTAATTCTAACTGAAAACATCACCAAGAGGGATTGACGCAAAACATTTTACAGGAGATTCTAGGGTCGAATTTGGTTTTGTTATAATAGGTATTTGTTTAGTTACTAACATTTCAAAAATGTTCAACTCACGTTCAACAAATTTTTTAAGTAGTTAGGAAAGAAACTGTAGAATAAAACACTGTTTTTTTAGTGCGGTGTAATGGAATACTAACACTGAACCAACGATTTTAACTCATATAACTTATATGACCATATCTGTATAGGTGTAGGCAAGCGTGAAATTAGCCTACCTCAAGTCTTAAACGTTTTGTAGGTACATATTTCATCATATTTATTTGGAACTATAAGAACGTCTAGAAACTAACGCAGAACCAATAATTGGCACACATTTCTGTTCATAAGCAGGCTAATGTGAAATTAACCCGCTCCAAGTATCGATGATTACCTACTGTATTGATTTCATCATGTGTTTAAGTTACTTGGAATTTGGAATAGGCTAAATAAAAGTTTTGATGGAACTAACGAATTACACTATCGGTAATTGTTTAAACCACAGGTTTTTTTTATACTTGTGGGCTAGCAAGAAATTAGATTACCCAAATAAGTTATTTGTTTTTCTTTTAAATAAATAATAGATCTTGAAACTTTAGAAGATGTCATCCGGGGAACTAGCCTATTAAGAATTAACACGGAATGAACTAATAAATAGAATGAAAACCTATTCGAGTACCTAGTCTGTTTTAGTATGCCTACGCTTACTTCGCATCTAGGCTACCTACTATCAGCTGAGAAAATGTTATTTTTAGTGTTTTGGCAATTCCTAATTCTAGCAAACAATCAGGCTCAAAGAGTCAATTAGTTTTTTCATAATTTAGGTTAGCCTTTATCGCAGTTTTTTTAGATAACTTGCCTACTATTAACTTAAAGTGTTATTTTATAAAAATTTGCGATTGTCAACAAAATTTTTTTTTACACGTACTTAATTGATATTTTCTTTTCTATAAGAACCATTTTTCAAAAATGTTGTAGGCTACACCATTGTCGTTGCAGATCCCAACGAATTGAAACTGGACATATGTTCAAACTATTCAAAAACATAACATTGTTAATAAATAAATTATCAGCCATAGACTACTTTTCCAAATTTCTCAGTTCCATACAATCTTTTCTTACAGTAGGTAACTACAAAGGCTAATCTATTTAGAACAACCAATACCAAAATGAAATCCGTTTTTTTAGGTAAAAACATAGGCTACCTTAGACTTTAAGTGTCCGCAACTGAAATCAAAGTAAAGAGTGGTTTCGATGGTGGTTTAAAGAGTCTAATAGCATAGGCAATAAGAATTAAAGATAGACCGACAGCTGTAATGCGGGATCTGGCATCCACCATTTGCAGCGTGTGTAGTTACAGCGTACACGCTAGGTACGTAACTACACGGCTATCCCAGTAGTAAACGGTAAGTTAGGTACCTACCAGTAGTTTAGTTAGGCAAATAACTAACTTAACTTAGGCCTAAAAGTTAACTTACGATACTGAAGTCCTAAAAAATAAATGTCCAATATGAATGCTAACTGAAATCTGATGAATAATGAGCTTTTGTAAGTGTAATGATTCAACAAGCCACGTCCAAAAAAGCTTGATTAGGGTGACTATTAAAATTATCAAACATGTGGACGGACAACAACTTTTCTAAAAATAATAAGTTAAGTTAAGGGTAAGTTAATTAGCCTATAATATTTGACACACAGCCTGGTCAGAAAATTACGTTAGGATCCACTGTTTTGACATAAGTCTTAACTTAAGTTAGAATTGAATAAAGAATGAGGTTTGGTTCATTTACAGTTATTTTTATCCCAGTTAAATTTATACCACCTCCAGTTAACTTTTTTACGATTAAGTTACCCTAAGTTAACTTAGGTCTAACTTTTAACTTAAAAACTCAATTGGAATCTGTGGACACAACTTGAATTCTCGTAATTTATAATTTGATCATTTCAGTCTAAAATTTATACTAACGTGCGGTGGCAAAAAAGTAGGGGAAAAACCTAGCACAATACAATTAGCCCTAAGATAATTCACATGAATTATTTTATAACTTAGGCCTATGTATGGCCCTTGTGAGTTAGGTCCTACCATAGACTAAGCAACACAAGGGGGTATGTTTTATCTAGATGGTCCTACTTAGTTTAAAACGAGGGTTAACCTATCAGTAAGTACCTATCAGAATAATATGTAACATTAATACTACTCAAACTGTTTAATTCTGTTTTAGGCTCATGTATAAGTTTTACCCATGGTTTTAACTCATGGAATTTGGCTCTGGTCTGAGTACCCTAACAGGGAAAACTAACATTTGAGAATCATAGGGGGTTGACGACTCGTGTAGTTTAATGAAATGCATACTTCAGTTTTTTAGGCCAAGACATGAAATCTAAGTTCCCAAAACCAGCATTTGTTTTGAAAATATAAAAACATTAAAATTAGGCTAGGCCTGTGCCTCCTCCCACCATAGCAGAAGAGCCCAGACTTTCTGCTTACTGTCGTCTGCTCGCGGCAGAGAATCGGGGGTAGCTTCCACAAAGGTCAAACTCTTATGGGGACGAAACCGTTTTATAAATTACAAATCTAATTGAAAAATGTATTACTCACTTTCCTAATTCCTCCTTGAGATCGTAATTATCACTAAATCTCGTACAGGCTGCAGGAGCAGCCATACCGATAACTACAAAATTTACTTCACTACTGGAAAATCCATCTACTACTTTACCGACTACCAGGGTCAGTTCAAATCAATATAGTTGAACAAGTATTAACTTAATAAATTCAAGGATACGATTTACCAACTAAATATGTATGGTTCGTAAATATGTGGTTATATTTTTATTTGCCGTGTATCATTATTTGCCGTCAAGTTTTAATTTTAAAATCACTCTGTTTTTTAGTGGCTAGTTTGACCACCAATGTCTTATTGTCAGTGTTACAACAACACTAAATTAAAATATTAAACTGTTTTTATTTTAATGAAACTACCGTCTAAATATATATGAAAAAGTACTTCTTCGACAAGAAAAATGTTATCGTTGTTTCTCGTCTTCTTTCTTTCTTGGTTTAATTGGCTATGAATAGCCAAAACATGGTACATTTTTATGTTCTGTCGTTATAGTCATAGAGTTCTCAGAGATCCTCCATCAAAAAAGAGGATGACTCCCGGAAGTTACCTTCGAGAGAGGGGGTCACCTCAATTTATAATTACTTTAATGCATGTTGAGGGCTTTAAAAAAAGTGTTTCTGATAATTCTTTAAAACATAGCCTATATTGTAAGTTTTTGAAATTTTAAACTAGAGTTTTCGATTTACTGGCCAATTCTTTACTACCACTAAAATATATACTTTTTTATAATTTTCATTCCGGCATGCTTATGTTAACAATGCTATAGTAAAAATTTTGCAACTTTAGGCTTTTAACTCCAAAACTTTTGTCTGGATTACTGGATCCCCCATTGGATTAGAATTTAGAAAATATGTTATACTAGGAGTCTTTAAACAACACATTTTTCAATTTAGTGGTACAATCTATCGACTCCAAACTCTGGTGATGTTTTACTACAGAGTGTGAAATACAGTTTCTTCAGCAACACAAAAACTATTGAATATGAGTCATGTTTAAAGAACAAAACTGACAGTTTCGGAGGAAGATGCAACTGCTTGAATGTTGGAGTTGTGTTGATTTTATTAGAACAAGTAAACTTTTTGCAACTCCTTTTTTTGACTTGACTGAAAATACAAATTTTCTTTTCGGCATTAGTAGGGTCTAGAAACATAAAGAATGACAAACAAGAAGTAAGAAATTTCTGGGTGTTGAGCAGAGACAGCAGACAGCTGGGTTAATTTTGCCAACAATCTCAAGTTTTAAACACAAAATTTGATCCAAAAAGGAAACTAAACTTCTAAATATAAGAATCCATTACAGTGACACAATATTTTAAATTAATTTAGTTTCCAATTTTATTCTCATCATGGGCGGTTGATTATTAGAGCCAATTATTCATACTAGGCCTATACTATGCGTTCAGGAATAATTTTATTTCTTTATTTTTCCAGTCTGAATCCCGGACATAGGTTTTGCCGAAAATCCCCCCGGACGTTTTTTATGTACCCAAAAAGAGGACGCGTCCGGGAAAATGAAGACGTTTTGGGATCCCCCCCCTCAAGAGTCATGGTGAAAGCAAGAGTCATCGTATAGACTGGTTTTATTTTGTGTTTAGTTATACTCTAGAATACCTCTGTATCATATTCATCTTCATTAAGCCAAGTGCACATTTCTGCGTATGTTAAGATTGAAATTAGTCATAGTCGAATTGACTTTGAGGAGAAGCAATATAACTTACACCCTTCACTCCCTAATAAAATTCTTCATTATATTGACAGACAACACATTTAATATACGATAAAAAATAGCAAAATATTTTGTGTTTTAATTATAAGACAGGCCTGACCAACAAAATATTATAAAAAAAAACAAGATAAACTAACTGTACAAGTAGTGGAAGGAACACAAGAAAAAAATAAATAAATAAAAATACATTAAACAATTAAATAGTAGGCTACCTGAAGATAGTACATAAAACTATAAAACATTACCTATCTACACAAACCGTACGTAACTATAATTTATTCATACTTTGTGGTTGGCTGACCAGGATTTACTGTTAATTATTATAGACAGTGTTAGGCAAAAGTCTGGACACCCCCAGTTAACTTTTTAACTCATTGTAGGAGGGGGGAAAACCAAATTCGGCACATGTTTACAAGTTTACAACATAAAAAACTGCACGTTTTCATCAGTCACAACTTTTTCCCGGGATCCAAATGCAAACCCCTATCGAGTGACCCCTCATTTTAAAGGGTTTATCAATATAAAACTACCTACCAAGAGTTCAAACTCGTCTTAATTTTGCCCAGCCTACTGCAACGCGTTAAAAAGTTGACTGGGGGATGTCCAGACTAATCTTGCTTACCCATCTCAAATTTTCAAATGGCTGCCATTTTGGTTAAGGGTGTGATATCAACTTCTGGTTTTCGCCTTCTGATTTTTCTTGATCACTCAATATGGGTTTTCTTTGAAAATTGGAGGCTACCCCCACATTTGGGACCGGGAAAAGTTGCAGTTTTTAATGTTGTGAACATGTGCCGAGTTTGGTTTTCCTACTGCAATGCGTTAAAAAATTAACTGATGGGGGTGTCCAGAATTTTGCCTAGCCCTGTAAGCGACTTACCGCCATGAAGCAATCCATTACTTAGTGTACAGAGCTGTATTTATTGAAATGGTCTTCAACTGATTGAAATGTAATATAGCCTGTATTTTATGTGGGATGTAGGTTTTTTTTACGAAAGTGAAATGCCTGGGAGTATTTCACAAAATCCAAAATCGGAAGATCCAAAGTTTATATCGCCAATCTGAAGATCCAAAATTGGAAGATCCAATAGTTTTATGTGGTTATATACCCGATCGGAAGATCCAAAGATCGGTAGATCCAAAGGTCAGTAAATCCAAAGGTAGATAAAAAAAGTACAGTCATAACCAGAAGTACAATTTTACATTGTGAAGTAAGCTCATGAAATAGAAAAAAATACGGGTTTCACTTTGGGTCTTCCGATTGTAGTTGGGTCGGAAGATCCAAAAGATGATTTATATTGCGTCTCTCATATTGAAGGAGTTTAGATACACGCCGTCATCAGCCTCGTGCCTTCTTGTTATTATGTTTTCTTATGTGACGTTTTTAATTAATTATTACTTTCTCCCCCTATTACTTACTTGTATGTGAATGCCATCCCAGTTAATTAATAACCTAACCAGCTGGTGGTGGTATGCCAGTTGCCACCCCGTGCTCGCCATGGGGAAGTATTGGGCAAAGTACAGGAAGAGAACAATACTGCTCTTTAGATCTGCTGTAATAAATAGTTAAACATCTATTATTTACTTGTGAAACAATACTCTTATTTTGTATTAAATTATTTGCCACCCCGTGCTCCATGGGGAAGTATTGGGCAAAGTACACGAAGAGAACAATGCTGTTCTTTAGATCTGCTGTAAGAAATAGTTAAACATCTATTATTTACTTGTGAAACAATACTCTTATTTTGTATTAAATTATTTCCTTTATTCAGATAAGGCGAAATTATCTGGGCAATCAAGTGCATGCGTACAGTACATTTAAGTGATGGCTCTGGATGCGTATTTAAAAATACTGGAATCCCAAAAAGGAATTGGTCAAAAGTAAACTAGCATCAACAATTAGTGAGTTTAAATTCAGGGGCACCCGCTGTTCTGTTAAACCTCTCTGCAGCAGTCTATCGTTGAAACCCAACTTATAATCCCATAAGTAGCTTTTGCAGCATTCCAAACATGCATGTGCACCCACATCATGAGTTTTGAGTTGCGAAATCGATCTTTAATGCACCCAGCATGTCAGCCCACCTGGCTGAGTTGAACACATTCGTTCAACGTCGTTCACTTCCAGTGTAGCCTACATGACTAGCCTTCGTGATCTGTGGTACACCTGCTGGGCAGCCTTAAAATTACGGATCACAGCTTCATTCATTGATTAACTTGCTCGAAAGCTGTTCCTAAGATCAGACAGTCCATGCCTGATGCTGCCTGTTTTTTATTCTTGGCTTTACATTCATTAAAAAGCTTCCCTGGCAAGCTTAGCATGCAAAGAGTTCTGTATGTAGAAGGGCTTTTAAGATCTCCTTTGCCCTTGAATAAGGCATAGTAAGACGTTGAACTTTCCACCTCCACCGCAGAAGAAAAAAGCCTTTTAACCAACAGCGCGGTCTCCCCGACCAACTACATTAACTATAAGTACATCAGTTGGAATTCCATCGGAACCTGAACAAGTCGTCTCTGTCTGCAGAATGTAAAGAAAAGCAGTGTCAGTCTTCACCATTACGATGTTTTGATGTAGACATGATTGCGTATTTTAACTTATAATAAGCTCAGTCAGATCAAACTAAAAAAAAAAAAAATAATTTTATAATTAATTTTCAATATAGGTAAGAATTTTCTTTTTTGTTTCATACCAAATAAGAACTGTCATCAATGTTGCAAGTCCCACTGTTTCAGAGTGACTGAGTTAATGAATGGCATCTTGTGTAGAGCAGAACTATGCCCACCACAACCACCTCCTACCACCGCAATCTTAGTAACTAGCAGATGAAAACCGTCCGTCAACCGTGTGTCACGCTGTGTCTCATGTTTTTCAAGTTGCTTGAAGAAGTGTTGAGCATATTTGAATGATTTTTCCTTTAATAACATTAAGTTTTTTTGTTTTTGAAAAATTCGATGCTATAATTTTTTTTCTCTGTATTCTGTATGCCAATTATTGTTAAAACATATTTCACAGGGTATCTATGCAGCCATCGTGTTATCCGAGGATTTCGGTAAACGAGGTAGTCCCTGGTCCCATCAACCTCGGTTGATCGGGAATCTACTGCAGCTGAATTAGATACAATTGACTTGAGTGGTCTAAAATGTAGTCTTCATAGCCAGGAAACAGCACAGCTAACTTAAGATCAAATTTATTTTTTTTACCAGTTCTCAGGTGTAATTAACCTACCTATACCTAGTTGGCAGGGGCAGCCGGAATGGGTTATAGGTCTACTTGTGAGTTTAACACTTTTATGTATCATTTTTCAAAACAGAAGAGATATCGTACACCATGATTATATGATGGAAACATTTTTGAAACACACACATTAAGACAAGATTAAGCCATCAGTTAATGAAAAATAAAGAGCTGCTATATTACTCACACTGTTCAGTACTTATTCCACTAATTCTACAACTAAAATAGGAGAAAACTATTAAAACCAACATTCATGTATTCATTTAATAATCAATATGTTTATATAATTATGAATACTGAGAACAAGCTATAGAGCTAACAGCCAGGCATGGTTACAAAGACTTGTAAAACAATCATACAAGAGAAATCACAGCTATACAAAAACTTGACACACATTTGAAAACAACTTTTAACCCAAATAAAAAAAGGTTACAATAAAAATAATCAACTGTTTATATAATTTACACTACTGTATTAATTTCTTTTGTTGGTCCCCTAGTGCACTAGTTTAATTAATTAAAACTAAAAGCAATCATAGGAATGTCCGAATTCTATATCCAAATGCTAATTTGGGTTGGAAGCACTGTTATACTTTAAAACTTGCTATAGTATTCGAGAAAATACTGAAAATATTCATTTAACTTTAATTCATACACATGAAACTGTTGGGGTTGTTATAATCCTAAATTAACTAAATGGTAATTTCATTGAAAGATTCAAATTAGTTTAAAATCTGCTTCACCCAAGCAATTATATCGTAGGATATGAATATAAAGTATTTATAAAAAAAAAAAAACATTGCATTGGTCCAGGCTCTTGCAAACTAATATAGATTAATATTTCTTTTAAAATGTGAAAACACATTTTAGAATATCTATCAAACTTATTCCAACAACAATAAATGCGAACTTTATGTCTTTCATACTTAGAACTAGAATAAAATAGTGATGATAGCAATTATCTGTCTAAGAGCTCTAAAAAAATATTGAACTGAGAGGTCATTTTTTAAATTGAAATTTTTTTATAATTTACCTTCATGTAATAAGATGGTACTGTATTAGTGATGGTGAAAACATTTCCCCAGTCTAAAAACTTAATAATCAACCTAGAATTAAAGACATTTTAGAGTTAGTGACTTAAATGGAAAGTTTAGGTTTCATAATTTAAAATTTACCAACCAATGAGTGGTAACTTAATTGTATGAAATTCATCTAGCCAGACCGGTTTGTAGTTTTGATTGGTACAGAATCAACCTCTTCATCTTGGCAGTGAAATTTTTTATATCAAACACTTATTCAAAGTATATTTTTTGTTTACTTTCCTCTGTACAACTTCAGTTTTAAGCTCGGGGTTTACAGATATAAAATAATAAAAACAATAATATAAATATTCCTACAACATCCTTTGCAGACATTTGTTATTTTTGTTACTATGAGTTTCAGATTTTTATAAATTGTTCTATTTTCTTTGATTGAAATAATTATTAAGTTATACAAATTTAAAAAAGAAAAACAGTATTTACAAGCAGGTTCTTTTCTTTCATCAAATTAATATCTCATCAGTTAAACAACTGAACAGTTAATATAAATGGTAGTTTGTCCGTGTTTACAATAAATACAAGCTTTTAACTAAATATACGATTTAAAATAACAACTCAACATGTGATAAACTTATGAACATTTCAACATGAAACAAAATGAGACAAACTACTAAAACTTTAATTATAATAATATATATTTTAATACTTAAGATTATTTTATTTAAAACTTAACACCCCAATTTCAGGTACTAATTTGATGGTTCGTATTTTTTCATTTAACTTTGATCGACTGTTGTGATGCTTTGCTTCTCAGTCTTAACTAAAATTTTTGAGCAACAAACTTTATAAGCTGTACGATTTAGCTCATTTAGAGAATCTTCAATTTATAATCAATTAAAGTTGTGTTTGTCGACCAAACTCGATTAGAAGGGTTATCCAATGTAGTGCAATGGTGAGAGAACTCATTCAGTAGTAACAGACTTGGCCAAGTTGCGAGGACAGTCTACGTTGCAGCCTCTTAACACAGCGATGTGGTAAGACAACAGTTGCATGGGAATTACGGTCAGGATGCCCTGAAACACCAACATACAATACAACATTGGATGCAACACAACATTATTTAGTGTATTGATAGTAGCCTAGTGTTGATATTCTGTGGGACAAATGGCGTAATCATTTCTAGAAGCTGGTAAATTAAGTAAACAGCAGGACTTCGGAGTCGGCAGGAGTCAATAATATTGCATTGTTATTGAATGTTGACCCTCAGATACCAGGCTAAACAGTGGTTGTCCAAGCACCATCAGTCAAAAAATGCGTTCACATTGCAACATATTGTTCATGCACCGTAAGCTTGATTACCGAGCAGAACATTTGATGTGATTCTTAAATATATTTTCCGTGAGAATTGTTTTTAGGATTTTTAAATTTTTTGTTTTAGAGGTTGAAAAAAATCACAGTTTAAGTCAATATATTTATGTAGTTTGACAAAATAATAAAAATTAAAAAGTAGATAGCAAATCAACTTTTTTCTTAATAAACTATGCCGTAATATGCTTCAACCATTAACATTGTTGTTATGAGCAGAAAATCCAAGATGGCCAGCGGTCCCGCAGACTCTCAAAAAGAAAAAGTTTGGAAAAATGTGGATTGAATAAAGCTGAAAGACTAAAAGTCTCCTCATAATATTTTTTGGGAAAATTACAGACCAAACTTTATTCAATATACACTTCAAATATACAACATTTCATAAAATACAATTTAGTTAGACATTTATTCATACCTGAAGACAGTCGACAGTGTGTGGGACTTCAATGTACTTGTAGGCAAAAGATTTTGTTTCCTCATCTCCTTTCTCGCCAATAATAATAGGCCGGCCCTCCCTTGCTGTGACTTGCTGTAGAGCATTCATGGATTTCTGAAACATTCACAGGAAAATGTAGTGCTTTGATGACATTTCAGTTCTGTATGTTAATTTATAATTATATCAATAATAACAAACCGATTTTTGGGAGTAACAATAGGTGATTCTGGATGTAAAAAATCTGTATAGTTAATACAATAAAGGTTTTATCTGACACATTTTTCATTACTGCCACTGCATTGAAATGATTGCCATACAGTAGACTCTCAGTAATCCGGCAGATATGGGACCGTGATACTGCCAGGTTAGTGAAAATGACGGATTACTGGAATCTTATCAATAAAAACACTGCAACAAGTGCTTTTTTTATCACTTAAAACACGTCTCCGAAGATCGCGGGAACGGAAACCGCTATTGCCGCGATCCAGGATGACGACAATGACGTTTCCGTGACCACGGGAGGCAATGATAACGTCTACACGGCTGCGGGTGATGATCAGAATTTTGCCTCTAGTGCGGAAGACAACAATAATGTCTACACGACCTCGGGACATGTTCATGATTTTGCAGTCGTGTCCGTGACTGCGGGAGTGGATGATGATGCCTACTCGGCCGTGGGAGATAACCAGAATTTAGCCGCGATCGTGCAAGACCTCACCCGTCAGAAGACGCCGGATTACTGGAGTGCCGGAGTGCCGGATTAGAGAGGGTACTATACCTGGAAACAGTATCAAAATAGCTCATTGTCGCTCTCCAAATGTATGATCGCACTTAGCCGTTCTCGAGCGGCAATGACGTACAAAAAGATAATTTCAGCCGTCTTACTTAACCAATGTTTAATATTGCGGTGTCATTTCAAAGCTTATGATCAAGTGGAGGGACAAATAGTAACTAAAAATGTTATTTCCTTCAGGGCTTTGCCCCCATATCGTTTAATTTATTTCTTGGGTTCACTTTGAAAGATTCAGCAATGCTGACAAACTTTCTTTATAACGGTTTAAATGTAACTTCAAATTTGAACAGCTGATGCTTCAGTCAAATGTTTGTCCACAGACAGATTTTAAACAAGATACAAAAGAGTTTATGAAATTGGATTTTTAAATAGGCTACTTTTTGATAATTATAACTTGGTCAAGGTAGGTAAATCACTCTTCATAGTGCAGATCTAAAAGCAACAATGAATTAATAGTAAATTGGTAGTTTAAGTTTTATTCACTTAATCACTTTTTTAAACAAACATAATCTTTGAAAGGTAAACAAGTAATGCACTATTAGTTATGATTAGGAAATTAGTTTTAAACCCTATAAAATGTGCAAATTTCACACAGGTTCCTTCATATGAACTTAATGTATCTATTTTTTTGCAAGTCAAAGGTTATGGGTACTAAACTGGAGGTTAGTGGTCAATAATAAGTGTGAACAATGTAGTGTCAATCATTCGGAAAGCCTAATCTTGATGTGCTTTACTCTGCAGGTCATTTAGAGCTGCATTTTGAAATCTTCTGATAAAACAGTGTCAGTTCCTGAGAAAGTTTTGGCAGGATACACTTGTGACGGAATGCCATGCCCTTCGGGCTGAAAAGACGGGCTGGAGCATATAGTTTCATCAAATAATTTAAAACTTTTTCCTTGAGGGAAATGTTTGCTGTGAGGGTTTAAATCAAGGTCAAAATTCTTTATTGACAAAAAAGTTAGGAACATAATCTAGGTACATTAGTTAAAGCACTCACCACATATACAGGGTCTCGGGTGACGATCATGATGACTGGCATTGCTTTGTCCACTAGAGCGAGAGGTCCGTGCTTCAGCTCTCCAGCCATTATACCCTCACTGTGCATGTACGTCAACTCCTTCACTTTCTACAAATAAGAACAGGATCTGAATAGAGAAGTTCATATTATCAGAACATTAGGAAATTTTTCAATTTCATAAAAATATTTTGAGAATATTTTTGCATGGAATCTGTAGGCTATTCTATAATATGATTGTGATTTCAAGAAATCGCCAGAGATCATCACAGGTTTTGCGTCAAAAGTGGTATGGTAGGCCTACTTTAACATTGTGTGATTGTGGATTAAACAGTTTTGAAAATTTACAGTAGATTTAATATTGTATTTCTGTAAAAATAAACATGGATTCATGAGTTGATATATTGCTTATTCAAGATCGCGCCAATCGTCCTACACTCATCTCCATTCATACTTGGCTTAAAATACCTACTTTGTATGGTCGCCATTTCATTGAAAAGTATAAGTTATAAAGTAAAGTATCATTAGGCAATAGTAAGTATCACTTTATTGCAATATAAAGCTAAGATGACATCTCAGCTCATGACATCATGGCTTTATCTTATTGAATTTTCATAAAACTTTCCATATTCTTATTTCTCCTTGTCCTCTTATAAATTTCACAACAAAGAATGCCTCAACAATTTTGGGCCATGGAAATATGCCTTAAGGTTTGTTTTAATATAAACATACCATATAATATCTATGTTATTACAAGATTTATTCCAGGAAAGTATAACAAGCACCTTAGACTCGTTTGTTAGAAACTAATTTTAAATATCTCTATTTGCGTTGTCAAGGCTCACCTACATTATTTCTGCTCTCAGTTTTAACTGATAACTTCTAATGAATGCTAAACGATCTGCTTCAATTGGAGTTAACATGTTGCAACAAAGTTTTTCCAACATTGAGAATTGAAGAAAACTGTTACCTTATTGATAACCTGTGTTAAGTAATTTAAGTTGGGTAATTTTTTTTCTTTGATTTGAGACACCTCTCTAACCAAACGAATTTTCTCCGTAGAGAATCCTGAAAAGTGGGGTGATATCAACCATTTCACATGCTCCATTTTTTACCCACAAACTCGGGGTTACCAACTGGACAGCCATAATCTGCTTTGAATAGGCTAAAGCAGCAACACCATTGAAAGTTGGTTAGCGTATTTTAACGTGTTGTCTGTCAGTCACAGTATATGTCAGTCACATTAGAACGTTCTCACGTTGTTCAGTGAAGTTTTTCTTAATACCTGTCCCACAGTTTTGAAAGTATGGATTCGTTTGTCAAAGATTTTTATAGCAATTTTTGTATTTTCTTTTGAACAGCGTATATTATTTGCCTCTCCTGAATCATTTCTTCAATTCTCAATGCTGGAAAAACGTTGCAACATGTTAACTCCAATTGAAACAGATCGTTTACCATTCTTTAGAAGTTATCAGTTAAAACTGAGAGCAGAAATAATGTAGGTGAGCCTTGACGACGCAAATAGAGATATTTAAAATTAGTTTCTAACAAGTCTTTAAGCAACTCTAAGATGTAACTAGAATTACTCGAATTTAAGCATAACGTTTTCCTCGATGTTATGTTTCATACTATGCGGCTCATTTAGCCGCACGGGTTCACTAGTATCCATCTAATCAACAAAATGAGTGACAAGTGTGACTCATAAGTTAAAAGAGTAATTTATTAATATATTGGCCAGTGTAGTGATTACCAGCGAGCCCTCCATGCAAGTGGCAAAGTTGTATCCTCGACCCATGATGAGCAGAGACTTCTGTTGGTACAAGTCCTTAGCCAAGTCTAGCACCTTCTCATCGTTCTGTAGCACCTCTCGGATCTGTTCATCCAAGTTCTTCAGGCCCCGGATGATCTGGAGAAAAGCAACAATAACTACCACTTTCTATAACTTAAAGGAAAACCAGACCGTTTCTTAATCTGTAAATATGGCCATTAGAATCTTTAATCTTTTGATTGTATCACATGAAAACTACTTTCAATTATGATTGCTATATCAAACTAATACTTCTTCCAATAATATATCGTAGGTTCTCTGCGGAACTGTATCAATTTTTATATAATAATTTGTGATTACATTTTGTATTGGAACATATCTCCAGGATGATTGCGTGTGATGTGTGTCTAACTGTATGAGTCCTGGATATGATCAGACAATAATAAAGGTGAGTGAAGCCCAAACAATTTTCATAAATGAATAATCCCTCGTCTAAAATCATGTCATTAAAACGGAACGTACCTCTTGGCGTCTGGGCTGCATGGAGATCCTATCCTCACTCATGACCAGAGCGAACATGACGAGAGAGATGAACTGGGAAGTGTAGGCCTTGGTGGACGCCACACCAATCTCAGGACCAGCGTTGATGTGCACGCCGCAGTGGCTCTCTCTGCAGATGGACGAGCCTACGGTGTTGGTGATGCCTACGATGAGAGCTCCACGTTGCTTGCAGTACCTCAGAGCCATCAGAGAATCTGCTGTCTCACCTGGAGGTGTGCGAGTGTATGAGTATGTGCACTATGCAGGCACTTAGTCCTCAATAAACAAAATATAATATGTATATGAATGTAAATGGATGGTTTTTTTGGCTTCATGGGATCTCAAAACAAAAAAAGTAAATCGGTCCCGGGTCTGGGTTCTACCATGAGACCTACGGTAATAGCTTGGTTGCTTATAAAAAAAATTGTGTGAGGCATAGACTTATCTACTCCATAAACATTAGACGTGACAACATAATGTTTTGACATTACACACCTGACTGTGAGATGAAGAAGCAAACATCGTCTCGGAAGACTGGAGTGTTTCTGTCCAGGAAGTCAGAGGCCAGCTCCACCATGACTGGCAGCTCAGTGAGCTCCTCCAGCAACTGTCTGGTGGCTACAGCGCTATGGTAGCTTGTACCACAACCAATCAACATCAGCCTCCTACATCTGCGGATCTCTGGGATGTAGTCCTGGACACACATTTATAACTTAACAATACACAGAGGCCATCTCCGAAAGCAACTTGTGTGGAGCCTGAATAAAAGGGGTTCTACTATAGGTACCACTAAACTAATCTGATATTATCAGCACTAATACCAGTGTACAGAAGTCTTACACTCTCATCGCTAGACAAGGATATTAGTGATTTTATAGATACATTAAATAAATCAAGCTATTTGATGTTTTTAGCAAAACAATGTTAGAAAGCTCACCTTTATGCCACCAAGTACCACAGTGTTTGTCTCAAAGTTCATGCGACCCCTCATGGTGTTGATCACAGACTCAGGTTGTTCAAAGATTTCCTTCTGCATGAATGAGCTGTAGTTACCTGAAAAGGTGAAATAAAAGCTTGTGTCATGACAAAATAGCAATAACTGAGTCTAAGCAAGGAATATTTGTTTATTAAATAAAAAAACAACAACATTATAAGTTTACATATGGTATTGATTACAAAACGTTAACAGTAAAAGTAAATGATTAGTTTGAAGGGGATAAAATTAAGTGAATCAAGACTTACAAGTGTAAAACACAGACTCTAAGCCAACAAATGATTGCAATCACTGCACTGGTTTCAGTGACATTACTGATTGTGTTGTTACCAATTCCTCGATGTTTACAATATCATTGATCGCTCCTGCTTGTGCCATGATGAATAAACATCTAGAATGTGCAGGCCTACATAATAGGTAAGGTGGTAAAACCTTTGACTAATAGTTAATGGTAAAACATAGTGATTAAAGTTATGAGAATAGAATAACAATTTTTAAAATACTAGTACCACAAAGATGCCAAAATATGAGCATTGAAGATTAAACACACCCTGGAAGAACTTTGCTTGAAAAGGCAAAAAATAAATTATTCTCTTTGATTTTGGTTCTTATTTGATGGTACCTGAACAGTTGTTTTGATCGATAAAGATTTCTTTATATGTTTAAACCTAAACTTTAATACTTACCCTTCATAATTTGCTGAATCTCCATCTTCAGGGTGGTGATTTCTCTGGCATGGGGATCATCCAGGGATCTCCGCAGTCGGTGAATGCTCAAACTGCCCTCCTTCACTGCAGCAACGTCATCATCCTAGCCACCAAGCCATCAAAACTTAGTCTTCATGAGATTGTTCTTAGAGTACAATGATTTCCCCAAGCAAATATAATTCCCCAGGTGCTGTAGCTGTAAATTACTATTTGAATTTAACAGAGAATGTAACATTAATAAATGTGTAATAGGCTTGTAAAAGGAAGTAAAATAAAATAACAAAAGATAATCCTGTGATGGCGAGAGAACGGCCGGCTGAAATGTTTTTGGAAGGCAAGTAATAGGTGACAAAAATAATAGTTTTATTTCACCTAGTACCAAAACTTTAAGGAACGTTTACGACAATTACTGAAAAGTTACGGTATTTCTCATCCCTAATGGTGAGTTGCCTTACTGACCTCCAAGAAGATGACCCTGTTGGTGTGTTCGATGACGGCGCTCGCATCCGAGGCAAAGAAGTACTCGACCTCCTTGTCCTCCAGGGGCTGGAACTCTGAGGTGGATTCCGAGCGAGGCAGCAGTGTGGGCAGCTCCTGGCGACCGTGGGGACGATGATCTGTACAACATACTACAGTCAGACTACACACTGACATCAGGCACTCATGAACATTTTACCCATCCTGATTTCTTTTTACCTCCTCTCAGAAGAAGATATTAGGACAACATTTGAAAGTAACTGTGTATATCTACTAACACCTGGAATCTAATTTTCTCAGGTAAACTAGCTGAACTCTATTCCTATTCAACAACTTCCTAATTGACCGGTTAGCTTTCTTTAACTATATCTTTTACCTATTCTGTACCTATCCATGTGCTAATTTGAACTAGAATCCTTAAATTGGAGACTTTACACCTACTTTAGTTTAAAGTTGAAACAACCATTAATATATTACACAATTAGGCCTAACATTTTTCTTCTAACCTAAACAGAGCCCCACTGATCCAAATATTTCCTTAATCCAAACCACCTATTGGGGAGAAAAAGTTCTTGTACTGCATTTAAATTAAACATTAAGCGTGTTCTGAATAATTAACCATTATGTCCAGCTGACCAAAAATGTAATTGTATGTCAACTTTGATGACCGGAAAAAGTTTTTTGAATTTTTTATGGAAACGGGGAATTTGGAATAATTGGTCGCAATTGTGAAAGACATTTATGATGTCATTATTTGACGGTGGAAATAATTACAATGTTACCACGATTTGCACAGTAAAAATACATTATTTATGCAATTTTACTGTACTTCCGGTTTAGCTGATCTGAATAGCTTAGTAAACTGAACAGGATCCGGTAACAATTAGCGGGACTCTGGTGCAGGCAAATTGTGTTTTGACAGTCTGAAGAAAAAAATATTGATACCAAGCTATAATGGTTCAGTAGTAAAATTTGTCTAACTATCAGCTGTAAACTGTTTTGCATTCAAGCACAGAATAAAGAAAGACCCAACTCAAACTCTAAATGAGTAAAACAAAAAGTTGTTTTTTTTTTTTTAAATGAAAAATGATTTATTTAATCAGGCAAAGTTAGGGCCACATGACCCTCTTACTCTTTGTTGTGTTTGAATCCACTAGTGTCTACCTACACCAAAATCAATGAGCGCTGCTGTCGCTGGCTTTCAAGCTAGGCCAGATGTGTGAGCAATAGGAGAGAGAACTGATCCCACTACACCATTCAGCTGCAATTCCACAAGAAGTGTATATAGTTAATATATACAAGTGAAATGTCTACTTTTAAAAACCAAGTGACAGCAGCGCATCTCGATTCTGGAGTAGGCACTAGCAGATTTAAATGAAAATTTGTTATGCTAAGTGCGAGTTTAGGGTTAGCCTGTGTCTTTTTTTCTGTGTTTAGACTCAACAAGTTTATGTTTTTTTTTCATATTGACAAGCAAATTTACTCCTTTTTCTTTGTTTAATATTTACGTTTTGATTTTCACGATAGAATTTGTTAGAATGGGTAGAATGGAATTGTAGTTTTAATGGCATTGGAATTTTTATTTTCAGTTAGTCAACATAAAATCCTGCTTTTTGATGCTTTATAAAAAATATCCTAAAATATAGTCAAGTTTAACATTGAGTAATGCTAAAAAGAAAATCGAACTGAAAAAATCAATAATAATCTCTGCATGCAAAAATTGAATTTTCATGCTGAAAATTATTCTTTACAAATATCTGAAATACCTCCAACCATGTATACTCCTGCGAGTCAAACAGGTAGCCAAACAATATGAATGCATTACATGAAACAAAAACATTTCAATGACAATATCTGTAATTAATTAAAATATGTAACCATCTGTTTGACCAGTGAATGTCTACAAATACATTGATAGTATTGGTTCATTTGTTGGTATAAAAAATTAATTCATCAGGCATCAGTATCAGTAGTGGCAGTGGCGACAATCTATGGGGGCAAGGGGAGCTCCCCCCCCCCCCCCCCCTACATCTAACCGTCAATTGCCACCACTACGTAGTGGCATTGATAATAAACTAGATTTGGCAACAAAATATATTTGTACAAAATACCTGCCACCGGCTATAACAATACATGCAACATTTTAAAACTTTGAATGGATTACAGGAAGATTTAGTGACTGAACAAAATTGCAAGTAGACGTCAAGGAATAACCTTTACATAGTTGTCAATAAACCTAGACAAATCACCTTGATTAAAATCCTTAAACCACAGTTAGGTTTTCTAATTTTTACATGAAACTTTAAATATTATTCATGCAATGTGAGATAACCCTGCACCATCTTGAAACTTATGTAAACAAATTGAAAATTGAACATATATAAATTGACATACCCTATTATACAATGCATAAACAACTTCCTTATTCCCATGATACTCTTTGCCAGCTTTGCAAATAGGCACAACTTGAACCATTCTACTTAACTGAAACCAATGGACAACATACGTAAAGATGATGAGATTGAGTTTTGAAGAAGCACTAGACAACAAAGCGATGCAAGGCAAAGCGAAGGTAAAAAGAATAAAAAGAGTACCTGGTAAGGAATGTGATTCAGCGTCTGACGAACAGAGAACAAAACATTAGACAAACAGAACACAGAACACACAAAGACAAGAATGAGCAAGCACTAGAAAAACACACAGGAAAGCAAATCTAGATTTTTAAACAACCATAGATATTATGAGACTGTACAATCATAATTTCAAATTAAACAAATGTAAATTTATCAATAAACAACAAAAAGTTGAAGACAAAATCCAAATAATCTTTTTTTTTATAATAATTAATAACTTATAAAAATAGAATCACTGCCAACTATAAAAATATCATTTTTACATTTTAAAGGTTGATGAATTAAACAAAGGTTTTACATCACTACGTTTCAATAATTAATTTAACTCTCTTAGTACTTCAGTGTTGCTCACAGCGACAATGCAGTTATAGGCTCCAGCACAAGCGTTGCAGAGGGCAACTCTTTGTATCTCATATTGTGCCGCAATAATCTCATGGACTTATTGGTTGGTTAATGCGTCAATTAAGTAAGAAAGATATAAATTATCAATTTCAGGTTCATTAAGCTTTTTTACTGTTACGGGTGACCACCTGATTTACATATGTTTTCATTGTTTATTTTTTCAGCTACGCTACGCTTAGACAAACGAAACTAGTTACGTTTACAATTTGCGATATTGTTTGTTTTGGAAATATATTTAGTTCTAATTTAATGTTTAAGTATTTATTTGATGACTTTTAAGGCTATGGCTTACGGTTCTCCAGAACTTTAAATATAGGTTCAGATCGCCTAGTGCGGCCCAGCACTATAGAATTGGGTAGAGCGCTGTAGCACTAAGAGGGTTAAAAAATGCCCAATTTAAAAATATTCATGTTAAGTTTGGGTTCATTGGTGATAACTACTAAAATACAACAAATAAAGAACTAACTAAATAAATAAGATTCACAGGATGCAATTTTTATATTGGGATTTGCCATTGTATTGTTAGTGATTGAATAGTAATAAATAAGTTGATTTCTAATCATGCTATCCATTACCATAACAAAAAGAGTTTAAGGTACTGTATCTCATGCTCACAAAGAACTAGAGTTAGGGTAAGTAATTTAAGGGACAGGAAACAGTCTACCTGGTTCAGACAACAGAGGAATGTCTTTAAATGTTCTAAGTGTTTCTTTGGCATAATTGTTTTTATCTAAATAAAAAAAAAATATTTTAAAAACAAGGAAACTATGGTAAGATTTACTTGATGTTTATAGAGTACCTGTTTTAATATTCAATTGTTGGTCTATCTGTTATTTTAAAAAGTTATAAACACAAAATTCTATTATCTTCCCACAGATTTTCCAAATAATATATGACGCTAATTAAGTTTAAAAATGTGAGCAAACATTTATACGATTGCAAAGCAATACAGTTGAAATTGCTGATTACAAAAAATGTGAATAAGCATCACAATGGTAGATAAAAATGGTTGTGATGCAGAATGTGAAGGAATAATGAAGAGAAAAAGATAGTGACAAAAAATGAGGAATGACAGAAGGTGAAGAATGAAATACAGACAGTCAGAAGATGTGCAATGTGGGTGATGTGAGATATGTAGTGATGAGCGATTTGCAACATGATAGTGATATGCAATGTGATGGTGATATGCAATGTCATGAGTTATATGCAATGTGATGAGTGATTTGCATTGTGATGAGTGATATGGAATCTGATAAGTGATATGCAGCGTGATGGCGATGTGTGAGGTGGATGATGGTTTAAGATACCTTTGACAAGGGGCTGAAGTGGTTCTTCTGGTTGAGAAGGTCATGCAAAAAACAAACAAGGTTAGCACAAAAACACACAAACTAAAAACCTTTGTTTTACTTATTACATATGCGAGGAATAATTAGCCAAACCAAAACTCCAGATCTAATTTTTGTTTGAACACACAAGTATACTAAAATTGTATTTTTTATAAATACTTTGACTATATAAATGACATTATTGGGGGGAGTAGTTATAAAACGGATTTTGTATCTTGATTGCTGTTTGTTTGGCTACCAAATAAAACAGTTTCTGTTACCTCAAAGTAGTAAAGATTGTTTGTAGGAAAATTCAAAATATAACGATAATGAAAAACCCTAACATATTTTATTAAGGCTTTCTTTATCAAGTAGAAGTACATGTACCCATGGGAAACAATTAATAGCTTGAGTAGAGGATAGCCATTTGAGACAGCAAATACCCTAAAGTCTCTTTTTTAAATTTTTATGGTTGGTCTTTACTAATTTCCTAACCTTAATAATTGAATATAGAATGCAAGTTATCAAAATAAAACAAAGGTTCTTACTATCAAAATCATAAACACTAGGTGTTTCATGCTACTTTTAGGATACAATTACATGCAAACAGAAAAAGAAGAAAGGAAAGAATCAAGAAAAAAATCTTAACATTTAAGTTGTGCCCACTTAAGCCTTTTGAGTATAAAAAAATTGATTTAAAAGGTTGAAGTTTATCATTCATAGATGATTAATTTAACGTTTTTTATTTTACAGAATATAAACATTGATTACCATAATTTAATTTTCCAGCAACTCAAGGATTGTTTCAATTTTTTAGAGTAGCATATATAGAAAAAAATTAAAATCAAACTGATTTAAAATCACATTGATTTATGGCTACAGATTAAAGATATGTACTAGACAAAATCTGAGTTGTAGAACCTTAGCTTCAAAACCATCCCATTGCTGAATACATCAATACAAATTCACAAAAAGGCACACAAAAGTGTTAAAAAGACCACACTATTTAGAAAGAGTATTTCAAAACACCAGTAGTTGCCTCAGAGTGACCGACACCGCAATACCTTTACTGTAGAGGATGGGGACGTGGTCGGTGGCCAGGCGAGTCTTAGTTTTGATGCCCACCAGCAGAGGGCTGCCTCGCCTAGTGGCCACACACTCGCCAGGGAAGTGTTTGCTCTTGAAGCACAATGCGAAAGCCCCTTCCTGCACACCATCATAGGTGAGTTGAGGTTAGAATAGTTATTTGTGTAACTAGTGAGCAAAGTGGCACTTTGCTGCACACGAGAGCAATGTTTACGGAATGATCTCGAGTGCAGCAAAGGCCTTTTGCACTCGTGTTACACATTAAATTTTTCCTACAGTCACTATAAAGCATATAAATAATTAGTCTTTCAACAGTTTTTAGGTTCAGCTGGCAACACAAATAGGTGCCCTAGAGAGAGTAGTCACCAGTCCGTATCACTCCGCTATTTTTTCCTCGGCAAGCAATGTGCTACGCGACTTGAGAAAATAGTTCCGTATGTTTTTCTAATTTGAAGTGGTTTCCGCGCCTAAAAAATGCTTTAAAGGTATTTTCTTGTTTATTAAGATTGTAGGAATGTTTTAAAAACGTTTAAAAGAAAAGTCCAGAAATACCGAAACTATAAACTCGAAATGACAGGTTAAATCGTATTTATAATAGTCAATCAGCTGCTCATAGTATTATTATCTTCTAGTGTTGCAAACCTATTTCCAAGCGTACACGGATTACGTACATAATAGAACCACGCTGTTTTGTGTTGTTTCGTTGGAATCCTGATGTGCGCCAAAGTATAAACCGTACGACAAGGTATAAATATGCAGAAATTTGCAGCTTTCTGTACTATAAACAGTACAAGGAAGCCAACTTTGTCGGGTGACTGTAGGAAAACAAATAAGTTGGCAACATGAGGTGACCTAATAATATAATTTATTAATATACTTTTTGCTGCTGTTGGGTTTATGAGATCTAGTGTCATTGTGGGTTTATACTAGCAATCAACCAGTTTGGCCGGAGGTGGCATGGTAGCTCAGTTGGCTAAGGCATTGCACTGACGAGTGTAGCATTGAGATCTTTTTGCATACGTGGATTCTAATCCCGTACATGTTTAAGGACTGCACACAGTTCTGTCTTTTTTTTATTTGTTCAAAAATAGATATGTTAAGAGAGTAGGTAAAAATAAATTTTATTTCATTCTAAAGTTGCCCAACTGGTCACAAAATACTGCAACATTTCTTTAAATTAAAACTACTATTGATTAAATCCAGACATTTGTTAATCCTTGAATGATTTGTACGTAACCACAATTAATTTTGATTATTGATGGTTTAGAGAGTTTAGCCTACTAACAGCAACAACAAATAGTAACTGTTGGTGGATTAATTAATTGTTAGGTTATTTAGTGTACATTTTGTAAGAGTAGCCACATGGACATCACGTTTAATCATACAAAATCTTTAGAGATGATATTATGACTAGAATAAATTGAAATTTTAACATAAAAACGACTTAGGCTGTATAAGTGTGTAAATATGCTTTAAAACCAAATACTGTGATGGTACGATAAAATACAATTTACAACGTAGTTATAATTTATAATGTAGTTTCAATTGAAACACAACCAACTAAACATATTATTATAGCTCAGAAAATATTTTTTTAAATAACTCTAAGTTTTTCTTAAGAAAATATATTTGTTTTTTATAAGCCCTAATTATATCTTAAGTTAAGATATTGTTTTCCTGTTATGAATACATCATTTCCAGGAGCCTTCTTCTTCTATCAGGAAAATGTCACTTATCACACAATAAAATTACACTTTAATCCAACACAAGTATTTTCTACATTAACTTCAATTAAACCACTTGAGCTATCAGCTCTCTTATCAACGATAGATTACTCATCTTTGTAATTGTAATACTAGGAAGGGGAACTAGAGTGGTCAAAAGTTGATGTAATATTGCTTAATTCCTACTCTCCAATACGAGTTGTAATCAGCTATTACAGTTTTTATGTATACTTTATTTATGTGGTCTTCTGTACAGTAGAACCTCTATTAACCGTCACCCTCGGGACCGGAATAGTGACGGTTAAGTAAATAGACGGATAATTGAAATTACCGTATGTTATAAACCTGTACAGTAGGTTGATTTAAAAGGTTTTTGAAGAAATTAAACCCTGTACAAGTAAATACATATTTATATCTATATAGGCAAGCATGTTTCTTTAAAACCTTTTTTCTCCCCTCGTGTCCATCGCAGTGAAAATCTACACATACTGTTAGAAAGATATTTTCCTGTAGATGTGCAGAATCCCTTTATAAATTAAAATAGGCTCAAAAATAAGCAAACAAAATGAATTACAAATTTTAATAAATTAACATGGGCCTTATGGGTTGCCATGCTGGTGAAGAAATAACAACAAAATATATACCGATAATAAAAAAATGGAAGAAATTCCAATCACATGTTGTATTTACAGCGTGGGGTGAAAATAAGGAAGTCTGCAGATTACATACTTTTGTTCGAGTTTTCGACCACTTTATGACCTCTACTTTAAATTAATTGCATACAAGAGTAACACAGAACTGTTATTTTGTATGTTGTACTTGGCGTAAAATTTTCAACCAAAAATCTTAAATGAACAACCAAAAGTCAACATAATTAATTGTCAGCATGATTTAAACTGTGCACCTAACTGTAGACCTAATGAATAATGAATAATGAGTGTGCTATATGATATAGGACTACGTCATTGATTTTATTTAAGTTGCTGATAGTGTTGAAAAAAGTTCATAATACTAATTTTATTTTTAAATTATGGGCTAATAGATGTTTTGTTACTGCTTCCTGTACATAAAATTCAGAAACTTCTTGTAAAGATTACTCTTATTTATTATATAATAAATTAATTGTAAATAGTCAATTACTAGAGACATGATGTGAACTCACCAGTTGTTGGACAACCTGTTCCACCAGTTCCCTAAAGGAGTGATCCGGGTGTTGAGAGTAGATGTGGTGAATCAGTTTGGCAATCACCTCCGTGTCTGTCTCGGACTCAAACTGGTAACCCTTCTTCATCAGGAATAACTGCAATGGGGAGAACCGTGTAAAGTAGCTACCAGGCAAAATTTAACATTGAGGTACAGTGGACTCCCTCTTATCCGGACTCCTCGGGACCGAGGTCAGTCAGGATAACGGTTTTTCCGGTTAAACCGACATCCCCAAAATCTCATTAAAACGGACCATTTAAATGCATACTCTATACAGTATTTCACTTAATATTAGGATAGCATTTTATTTAGACACGTAATCACTGGTCTCAAATCTTTCCCACGAGAACAGTCATTTCAGTACCGCCCACTTCCTGCCGATCAAGTCTGGTTAAACCGATGTGCTGATAAAAATTACCCGGATAAAGAGATGTCACTTCTACCGAGTGTGGTCCGGTTAAACCAATGTCCGGTTAAAAGGTGTCCGGATAAGAGGAAGTCTACTACTTTCTAGCAAAACTATACTGTAAATATGATATTTGTCAAGTGTAGGCTATAACAAAATATAGACGGCTACTTAGTTGTACACATCAGTAGTGTAGTTGTAAATTTTCCAGGGATATACCTTGACGTCCTTGTAGTTAGTGACGATGCCGTTGTGGACCACCACGAAGGAGTGGTTGACATCTGACCGCTGGGGGTGGGAGTTAACCTCGCTGGGAACTCCGTGAGTCGCCCAACGGGTGTGAGCAATGCCCACGTGGCAGGTGGTGGTTGCATCAAAGTCCAGCTTGTCCTTTCCTAGAACACAACAACAGCTGTAACAATACTACACAATCTCTCAAGTATTTGTGTGATTATAGATCTGCATTCAACTGCTTATATTCAGGAAAAAACTAACCACAATTGTTTGAGAGTTACTTACGAGCAGTGATCTCATCCTCAAGGGCTTTGACTTTTCCACTTTTCTTGACAATGGACACATCCTTGCCATCGGGAGAATCAAGAGCAACTCCTGTTGACAAAATTAGAGTTTCAATTCCAAACACTAGACAACCATGGTTTCGAAGCCGATTGCATCATGGTCACGTAGGACATGTCGAGAATCAAAGCATTGTTGCCAGAGTTGGTCACTTGGACGTCGTCAAAATCACATGTCCTACTCGACATGTCCTACGTGACCATGATGCAATCGGCGTCGAAACCAACTTTTTTGAGCTGGGACGAAAATACAAAGTAAATAAACCACTATTAATTAATTTCAAACACAAACTTCAGAGCTTATATTCAGAGCTTATATATTCCAGCATTAAAGTTGGCGTATTTTTTTGTGACTGTGATTTAATTTTATTGTAGGAAACTGATCCTGTTCTTAGATCACCTATTTATAACGTCATAGGTGTTGTTGGAACAAATTTTACAGTAACCACTTTTTTCACTGTATAGTTTCATAAACTAAATTCTGATGAATTTTGTGCGGATAGTAAAAGAGTTCTGTCATTGTTTGACAAAGATTAAAGCGGATTTGGTTTTTTACTTGTTCCAGTTTATCAGTTACAAGAATAAGCTTACTGCTATGGTATTTTATGGTGATAACAGCTATGTCATAAAATCAGTCCTATCCTAATCTTATTTTCAATCTTAATTCCAGCCACTAAGCTATTATAGTTATTTCTACTGTGCATTTACGAGACGGTTAATTTAAAGATTTTAAGATCGTTATTAAAATACCATATAACAAATGTCACTTCAAAACCACTTCCCCTCTTTACCTCTTTACTGTAAAGAATTATTGACAATCTTAATATAAGTATAAAATAAAATATATGTTACAATAGCAAACCTATATAGCAAAGTAAAAATAATAACTCCAAGGTCAAGGTTTGTACAGTAAACAGGCACTATAAGCTAGAAACACTGCCACTTGTCTAATGCCAATTTCTGTTTACATTTGTAATGTTAAATAGTAAAATCAGCTGGTTGCAATTATAGAAATAAATTGCAAACAAACACAAGCGCGTAGTCGGTAAAAGGAGAACTGATTGAGAGCAAGGGAAAGCTAATGTAGAGCATGGGAAAATCAGCTGATTGTTTTCCTTTGCTCTAAATTAGAGCTTGAGAAACAATAATTACTTTCTTTTGTATCAGCTGTTATCGAAAATATCTACTTTATGTAGGGAGACATGAAAATATTTTTAAGTTATAAGGTTAGACAAATTTGAATAGCCAGTGTTGCCGGAGGAATAATGTTAAAATGTGCAGTGGTAATGTTGAATGACAAAAAGGCAATCAAGACGAGCAATGACTTTAAACGTAACAGGTAAATTAGTTTATGTTTCTTTTCTTTATAGCACACAATTACAGCGGTCATAGAAAGAAACTAAGCAAATTCACGGGATATTTGCACTTCAGCCCCAGGCTGTGGATTATGGACACAAGGACCCAAAAAGTGTAAGGCTACGAACTAAAATTAGTAAAAATAATATATAATTGAAATCTAGAAGTGCTGTAAGTAGTGTATAGTCTAGCTAGTCTGAGGGGAATGGCATATCAAGGCCCTACCAAGGTCGACAAGTGACATTCTGTCCAGACGGCGCCACTCAACTCACGGCCCGCAGGACAAATGAAAGTAGAAAGCTCCAACTATGACTGATGAAAACCAGATCACAACACTACTTGTAACAATATCATCAATATGTTTGTGCTTTTGTCCGGCATACTTTGAGAAACATGTACACAAAGTATTGAGAGAAATTCGAGCCATATGATTACATTTTCTCAGTCACATAGCGTTAAATGAGAAAAGTATTTACTCTGTGTACAATTTATTTCTCGATTTAATATTTTGGATCAATCCTTTAGCTTAAGAGTATCCGAATGGCCTTCCCCCATTCAGATAAGCCTCTTGATTCTAACAAGAATCCTTAAAACCTAGATCATTGTTTTACATGTAAAATCCACAACTCCAAGTTAAACACCAACCCATATTTAAGCTATTAATACATCTTCATATAACAATCAAGAACTATTACCATAGCGGAGTTCCTCCAATGTCTAGAATCATACATAATTCATTTTTAAATAATACATATTACTCACCGGCAGAATCATAACCTCTGTACTCAAGCCTCTTCAGCCCATTCACAAGAAAGTCCAGGATCTCCTTCCTGCTCTTGGGTGTCAGGTAGTTCAGATAGGCAAATATTCCTGTAACAATAATTCAAGTGTAATACTTAGGTAAACGCAATAAGGCTATTTTGTTTGGTGAAAAAAATTAAGTGAAACCACTATATATCCCGTCAAATCAAGCAAATAGTGATACTTAGGATAATCTAAAAAATTCTAATGCTATTCTGTTTAGTGCACGTTTTCCTCTTTCATGATCACCTTTTAAAATTTACTAACTAGTTTTTTTTTTTTATTTTATCAGTAGCAAATTATATAAGTAAGAGTCATGATTTTAAAAGTGGGCGAAATTCCTTTGTACGAGTATTTGAGGATACGCCTGGAATGAAACTCATCTAAGATGCTGACCACTAGGCTAGCAACACAGCCTAATTAGCATACAGGAAAGCAACAAGTAAAAAATACCCGTCGCAGCAAACCTGCAGACTATGCAAATTTCCATTTGCCTGATTGTATTTTCAGTAAAATCTATTTAAATAACATAAAGTTTATCAAGTAAATAGGTTTCTGCTACAGGGGGTGTATTAAAGTGTGTTTTTAGTAAAATAATAATAGCGTAGTATAAAATGAATAAATTTACCAAGTTTGGTAAAAATATAATATCCATAAACATGTAAACTACAACAGTTTACTTATCCTCTATAAGAATAAAACAGGAATTTTAAATACAATTTTTTGAATTTTATCCATAACCAATAACAGTAAAAACAATTCAATATACTAAATTATTAGTTTTTTAAGCTCTTTGAAATGGTTTAAAGAGAAATTGGGAAATTTTATGTTATGATGGTCAAAAATGAGAAACAAATCTTTACTCCATTAAACATAAAACCTCGTTGCCATGGTCCGATCATGCTGGTTTGCAAACTCATTCAAGTTTATCCCGCCCTAGATCTTCAAATTTCATCAAAATCGGACAAATATACTCAAGTTATCGCCTTCACAGACATATCAATCTATATATATACATACTGTACATAACAATTTGAACGAATAGTGTTTTTGGCCTCTAGGGACATCAAAATGAAAAATTTATATCGGTTCCGGGTCTAGGTCTGACCCTGCCACCTACGGTAATAGCTACTTCCATATAGGGAAATTCGCTAACAATACTTTTTACATCAATATATGCTGTATTTGCAATATAATTCTCAACTTCTACTTTTTTATCAAAGCATAAATAGCTTTGAAAGAAACCCGTGTCTACAAATCATTGATTCATTTGAATTTTGTACAGTGATTTTTTTACAATATATGGATATACATCCTGTTCCTAAACCTAAAGATAAAATTTTAAAATTGAGTAAACTGAGGTCAACTTGCAGATAATGTTAAATTACAATTAGCTTTAATCTCCGACAGTTTATCTTGATTACACATGTTTATAAAAATGGAGTTTGATTTCATAGGTCTGTTTGATGTTTGACTAGGACCAACAAAAAGTCAATTTGGCACAAAAAGAGCAAGAAACAAGGTTAACCGGTTACCAGGTGCCTGGAGTAACTGGTTGGGGCACTCGTTAGTAAACAACTTGCAGTGAAAGCAGATAAAAATAAATGATCGGACACCGTCACAAACATTATCCAATACCGGTGTGAAGTAATATGCCTTAATCATTTGTTGTGAAACAAATGGTTTATGGGACCACCACATTGCATGGCGCACGTACATGACTTTTAGAACCAAAAATGAACACATACATTCAGCCTACATAAAGTTAAACCCTGTTGGCTATTCTAAATCATAATTCTATTATGGATTGTTTTTATGAAATTATATTAACTAGTTGCTCTGCCCGTGCTTCGCTACGGGGTGAGAATGCAGAAAAGAATACTTTGGTTTTGCTATAAGATACTATCATATACTATAAGAAACAGTTACAACACACTTACCAGGAAACATGCGCAAAGGCTCAATCGTGCTTATTTGATTATTTAAATGAAGATCTCTTAATGTATTACAATCACTTTATATAGTGTATTGCATTAAAAATATATGCAAAATAATAATTCATTGAACACATGGCACCAAGAAACAATTCTCCTTGTAAAAAAATTAAATTAAATAGCAGAACAGCATTTCTGACAACAGCGCTGGAGTTTCATAACGATGTTTATTTTCCACGTTAATCTTATGGAGAAATACAAAACTTTAAGGGCCCCAGGGCCTCACTCTCTAATTATTTCCCTATAAAGAAAGTTTCCCGCACAACTTTACGTTACGCTCTTTCCAATGAGACCAAAAACATGACAATCGGTTCAGTAGTTTCGGAGGAGTAATTGTCACAAAAAACCTGCTTGCGTATTAAATAAGTATAGATATAGAACTTCTCTAGTATCTCAAATTGTATGTTATGTAAAACTAAAAAAAAATACAGAATATTATACTGGGTGGGCAAGAAGGGCGAACGTTTTTTGAATAAATAGTATTCCGACACAAGTTGTAGGATATGGGGTGAATGATATGGTCGCTTGTTCGGTAGCTCTTCCCATTTTCTTAGTCAATGATATGAATTCATCAACTGTGTCAAATGGCACTTATTTTCGATCATACAAATAGTAACTTATTCATCACTAGGGCGTAAAGGGATTCTTTTTGACCCGAGCTGAAGTTTCCTCGCCTTTGCCTTGGTCGGAAAATGAGAGAGGGTTGAATTTTGTCGTACGATGAATTATATTTTTTATCATATTGCATTATTATTTAACAAACTGAGTTAGAAAACAAAATTACTGTTCATGTAACTTCTCAAAAAGCCTTGCAGCTGCATTTAAAGTTTGCTAATGCAAATAAGCAGCTATTCAGTAAGCGATTCAATAATTTTGCCTATTGTGATAGACTTGCTGTCTATTATACTATCGATATGTAGAAATATTGACAATAAGCTACTTCCAATTAAATCAATCCATAATAATACTTTCGATTCATGCAATTTCTTACAATCGAAGCTTACAACTGTTTACGCAAGAGCAGATTTTTACTCTCTAGGGAGTAAAAGAGCTACTTTGTACCCGCAACGCATGGATTAAAAATGGCGGTTTTTTCTGCAGAATGGCAAAAAATAAAAAGTCGGTAAAATAATAAGTTAGTGAGTCGGTGGCTCAGTCGGTAGCGTCGCGGACTTCGGGCCCATGGCAGCGATGTCGTGGGTTCGGATCCTGGTCACTGCCGATAACATTTTATCAGTACAGTTCACCTTTGTACTGTACCGGCTCACTCCTTGCTTTGCTGTAAACGATCCACGCACGGGCGCTTAGTCTATGTGGACGGGCAAATGCAAGGTTAAAAGAGGCCGCCAACCTCTTTTAAAAAAAAAAAATAAAAAATTTTAAATGTGATTTATCAGCTGGATGACATTAATTTATTACAAGCCTACAAACAGCTGACTAAAAAGGTTTAGATGCATCCTGATGAAAAGAACAATCACTACTCGTTTAAAAAGTCTGATTTCAGGGCTCAATATTTGTTTCACACTCGACCCCGCTTCACTCGTAAACTTTCTTGCTCTGAAATAGATCACTTATGAGACTAGTATTAAAATATAAAAAAGTGAAAAATTGAAGAAAAAACTTTTGGGAAACAAAATGGTCATAAATTTACCCACATAACATTAGGGGCTATCAAAAGACCAGACTGGACAAAATGTCGTTAACATGTTTCAGAAGTAATCTAAGGATACCGATATTGTTCGGTATAAGAAACATGGAAGAAAGCATTCTTGCAGTCCTTGAACACCGTTATGTATTGAGTTACTGACTTGTTAACCTTGGGAAAACATTTGTCCCTGAGTAACTGTAGAGTTGGCATGAACTGTCCAGTGACCAGGCCCTCCAGCCTCACAAAGAGTGTCGTACGTTGATTTTGCTCTTTAAAGTTTGTTTCACCATTTTTCAACAAAACTCATTAGTTTAGCACTCACTTATTAGGAAAAATTAATATTAGATCCTTGGCTTTTTCCTTGGAAGGAGGCATTATAGAGGGCGAGATGAAAAAAATCAAGGGGTACTTTTTTGTTAAAGGGAACATTCATTATTATCGATGATTTTTTTTATATCGATATTTTATTTTTTGATCCGATATATTGATATCAACAAATTGAAACATATCAGCTGACAACTATGATAAATACATATTGTTCAGTATCAACAACCAATTGCAAAAAATATTATATTGAAATGAAACTATTCTTAACTAACCTAACATATCCAACCAAACTTGCTGTAAGTTACCATTTTAAAATTTTGTTTTATTTTCCCCCCATGCCTTTTCTGTTATCAAACGGAATTTTGAAATGGTACAGCAAGTTTGGTTTAGTAAGTTTAGAACAGTTTAATTTCTAAATCCATATATATTATTCTTTGCCTAAATAAGATCAGTTGTCAATTTGTAATTTAAATGCGTTTTAAGATATTAAAACAGAAGGAATATGGATCGCAATGGAATACAAAATATCAATATATCGATAAAAGTCATCGATAATAATGAATGTTCCCTTTAACAGGAAAGTACCAATTAAGGTTTAGAATATTGCTAGAGATGACTAGATGCACAATATAAAATAACAGCATAGTGAACTTAAAACCCATTTAATGTAGTTAACCACTGTGTATAAACTTTGACTATTAATCCAAGAGTCAATTATATAACTTAACTTAAACATTGCTTGTCAACTCTATTGGAAGATATTTTTCTGGTACAATAAAACTGATTGCCAACTAGTTTGCTGACTTGGCAGACTGTTCTAATCTCAACTCAAAAGTCAATTGATTTAAACCAACACATCAAATTCTTTTCTGAGTTTTATACTTCAGCCTCTTATGTCACAGACTTAGTGTCATGTGAAGTTTTTATTAAAAAATTTGTTTTAAACAACTTTGGGCCAATTATTACTTATTTTAAGAACAAATAATAAACTATACAAAATTCTGGCTCTACATAAACAAGAACAAGGCTAAACATAAACAAATTTAGAATTTTGTTACACTTAGGTACTTGGAGATAGAGCAGGTATGCTCTGTCAGACA